ACTATAAACTAAAAAATTATGTTAAACTCAGTTTCAAATATTAAAATACTTAGTACATGTATTCTTCTAATTTCTTTTTCCAATTGGAATCTCCGCTTTTATTATGACAAGCTATGTTCTGTCATAGAGTACGTTCTCTCTGTCTTCCTGCTTACCTGTTTCTCTGTCACATTGTTGTTCTTCGAACTTCCGTTTCTCGGTTATCATGTCTCTATAATTCCACTCTATGCAATCGATGTGTGGTCTACCCAGTTCATTCGAACGCAGGGCTTGAATTTATCCATCGAGTATTTTCCTACTGTGGCTTTGAACACAGGAACAATTTGTCGAGTAAATTTCGATAGCAACGCTGTCACACAAGCAGAAGAGATCGGGATACGGTGCGCGTTCGAGGAAGACAAGAGAAATGCGCACGGTGGCTCACGATGGAACATTTTTAAAGGAAAATGCATGGTAAAATCAAAAGTACAATAGTTCCAAGTTACCTATACACAGACGAAATCTAATCGCGTCCAATTAAAGTTAATAAACGATAACATTTCATCGTACTTGTTCTCCTTCATTATCTTTATCTGTCTATTACCGTATTATCTGTCTACTTCTATCTGTATGCATTTTGTCATTCTTCTCTTCTCTTGCTTTTCTTCCTACTCTCTTGTGTACGAATATTTCTCTGCCTCCCTGTATATACTTGTTCGTACATGATCTGTACATAGTACATACATATCTATCTATCTACACTCGTACTTTACATGTATGTATTTACACATTCTATATCTATATACGTATAGATTGTTTGATATCTTTGATCCTTGTGTACGATTCGTGTATCGCCTGTGTACGTGTTTGTGTGTCTCGTTAAGTATCATTCAGTGCCTGCGTTCCTTAACGAGCTTCCCCAGGCCTCGGCCTGTCGCGAGCTCGACCATCGGCCGAACGGTATCCTCCGCTTCCGTTCTTCGGGCAGCTGACCGTGAGCCATCATCCCGCTGATGGGTCGCGCGCGTTTCGTAAAACACGCTGAAGAACTTAACTGAACGAAACACCATTGAAAATTGGCCGAAATTTAACAGACACTGTGCCTCCGAATGCATGCCTCTACACTCATACACGCTTGCTACGTCTCACCTCCTGACACACACGGCCCGATATACACTGCGATGCGCAACACGGATTCTCTCTGCTACATTAATTAATCTGCGTTGGATCCGCAATTTCGTGACACGCCTACGGCTTAATGAAACGGCACACTGGCCTTGCATGATTGTTAGCCGAGTCTCACGATGCACCGTGAAAAATGTATAATTACGATGCGGATATTTTCATTATTACGTTGAAAGGAACAAACGTTTTTTTAAAATAAACCATGACAGCCTTATTTTGCTCATATTCCCCTCTTGATTTTGCATTTTTTAATTCTATTAAGAAATACGTGTTGATAACGGGTAGTTTTTCGTCTGACCAATCGTGTATCAATACTACTGAGAATTCTGTACATGAAATAATTAAAATACTTCTGTTACGAAGTACAATATTTCTGGACAAGTAGTGTCCTAATTCATGTCTCACTTAAAAATACGAAATTGTCTTATAAACTTATTGTTCGAAATGATTCCTTGTTTAGAAATAATAAAATCCAGGAACTTGCTTAGTGAAGTTGACATACTTAAAAAGTTAGAGACAATGAAAACTGGTCAGACAAATTTTTTTTATTTAATTTCCGTTCTATTATATATCCCGTTATTTTTATTCTTTTTCGGTTATTAGTTAAATGTCACCGTCAACTTGCCGCCTGTGCGGGACGACATGAACAAATTGCCGTGAAATATCACCGACGCCCCATCGGACTATACATTTTTCTTACAACCCGAGTGCATTGCAACGGAAATACGAACGGCCGGAGACAGTAGTTGATGCATGCGCAAGGAATCCTCTAACATACGTGCGAATTAACCCATGTTTAATAAAAGAACGCTGAGAAACTTGTGGGTGCCAGTGGAGGCATCCGTCATACTACACTGCACAACTACTAAAACCTGATATCTCATTACCAACAGTTCGATCCCTACAGATCTACGTACCATGCTGTTTGGTTCACCCTCTCGAGATTCTATAATATAGCCGTCCGACTCTTTCCATATCCTTTGACCTTATTGGGCGGGGCGAGGGTACACCGAATACCAGCAAGCGACGCCTATTTGACAGTATTCAACACGGTATCTAGTTTCAGTAGAGAGTAGTGATTAGATGTGCCCCTTCTTTTCTTTTCCTCATTTTTCTGAGCGTTGATACGTCTCGTATTCTGATACGATCATACAGAATTAAAATTTACCTAAATATTCGTGTAATTTAGATGAAGCTTGACGTATTGCTTTCATGAAATATCTTGCGGTGGCTTAAAAAATACTTCTGTTTAATCAGATTTGTGATAAGAACATAAAAATTGTATGTA